AAAAAACTAAACACTTTACATTAGAAGCATATTTAACAATTGTAAACGACACTATGGATGATAAATACACAAAAAATGAATTAAGAAATATTAAAACTTATTTGGGTAATAATATAAAAGAGCTTACCGATCATAGGGAGGAATATTTTCCAGTAGGAGTAGTTATTCTTGCAGAATACGAGGAATACCCAGAGACATGCATGTTCATTAGTTAATTATTATAACAATATTAATAACAAAAATTTAATAAATAATGTAATATCATATAATTTAAGGATAGGATAGAATTAGAAAAAGCAAAGTAAAATTAAAATAATAAAAATTCTCAAAAATAATTCACTCATAAAATCAAATTATGTAATTGCACTAATAATACTAAACAATATAAATATATATATTATTATATATATATATGTACCTAAAAAAAAAAAAAATGTAATACTAACCACTATAAAAAAAAATGTTATTCAAAACATATGTAACACTAACCTATTTAAACTAACACTAAATTAATGAATCACATTTTATTGTAATATTTCCTATACGGAAGTAATAATTATATTAATCACATTTATATTATTTTGTAACAATTATGTAATCAAAAAATATTTTATCACATATTATTTGTAATATTATTATATTGTAGAAATTGTAAGTCCATTTAAAATCACTGTTAAAATTATAAACCTGTAACAACATCTTTGTATTGTAAACAATTCTAACAACATTGTAAAATCATTGAAATAATTGTAAAATTATAAACCTCTGTAATCACTGTAAAATTGTAACTTATAGCAGTGGCGTACCTGTGGGGGGGCAACAGGGGCATTTGCCCCCCCCCCAAGAAGTTTTTTGATGCCATAATGCAAATTCATTGTCCAGCTTAAATAATGTAAATAATTAATATTTTCACTGATTATAATCGTGTTTGATATCACTATCAATGTAATATAAAATGTCAATATTCGATCAAATTAGGATTAGGAGTTATGGTCACATATAGTCACTATTTTATAATGTGATTATCACTTATCATTGATATCAAGTGATCAACATGAGGACGTTATCATAACTTATTTTATAACCATAAAAAATTGTGAAAATTAATTTATGCCCCCCCCCCCCCAAAAATGTTACACAGGTACGCCACTGACTTGTAGCCAATCGTAAAACTATAACTATAAGGAATTAATTTCTGTTTTGCAAACATAAATTAATTTTTAGGTGGGGAGGTGTCGCGTCCTGCGTATTCACACATTAAAACACAAGGAGTGTCGCGTTCTGTGTAATCACACAATAAGATACAACACAGGGAGTGTCCATGAACGTCAAAAACAATAACCGGGGATGAGATTATTGTACTCACGTGGTTATTACACTAGAGATTACAATAAGAAATTAGAATATCGAAATCACAAGCGTGGACAAGTGAAAGGGTTCACATAAACGTTCTTATGGGAAATTAAGTCTTAATTATTCCTGACTACACCTACAACCAAGCGTTGACTGAGACGTTGAAACTGAATCATCAGATCGATCGGTTGGCACGTAACAAGTGGATATTGCCATCTCTATTTTTTTCCCCCAACTATCAAATGTTTTATCCTCTTTTGCTTTTATTCAACCTAAGGTGTATGCATTAAAAGTTCTTTACCTGGTTTATAACTCACTACTAACTCATATTTTTGTAATTTTATTAAAATGCTCTATTTTGTTAAAGGACATCTCATTAAAGGTTTCTTAAATATCGACTTCGTATATAATAATGATTCGTCTTGACAAATACTTTCTGGCTATAAATGTATTGGTGAAACCAATTATAATAATAATAATAATAATAATAATAATAATAATGACAACTAAATGCTATACCTTTTATTCTTTGTCTATCTGTGTATATTGTATCTGAAACGTAGTTAAAGCTCTAGTTGCCAAAATAACTATTACAAAAGTGATCTGACTTAATAAGCTTTCCAATAACTCTTTGTACCCAACTGTTCAGCAACTTTTAAGTACTTTGTAAAAACTGAACATGAACAATATTGTTTAAAATATAAGTTACAAACAAGCTTTTATAAGTGTTCAATAAATAGATTAAAAATACAAGCTTTTAACCATAAGTGTTAGCTGTATAGTGTTATAAGTAATAGCATTTGAGTAGATTTTTGATTAAAATGAACCTACATAATTTAAATTATTTGTTCATAACTAACTTTATATAGTAAATTATATAGTAAACGTGAGAAGTTACTACATAGGTTTAAATAATTAAATTACCAATATATAAATTAGAATAAATATTTAACTTATAAAAAGATCAATATTAAAATTATTTACATGTTGCATGGCTCTAGAATAGCACCTACAAACGTGTCATTTTTAAGGAGTTGTGTTTAGGCAACTATTTCGATCCTTGCCGACACTGCTCGTTGTTATGTGTGTAGTAAGTGATCATTAGTGTATGTATGTATAATCCCCAAACACAACCCGCATCAACGCACGATTTATTGTTTGTTTCTTATCTAGTTTTTCAACGGTCGTAAATAAAAATAACTCGTAAATATTAATATATATATACACTATACCGCATAAAAATAATACGCGATGTACAATACACCTACATGTATAACAGTATTTATAATAAATTAATTTTTTGTCATTGATGTACATATTAGATTACCAATGTAAATAATATGATAAGTAGTTTGGTAGTGATACCCGTTGACAAACAGGAGCATATCATATGGCGTTATCACGACCACATCCTGGCGGGACACCCGGGGTGGAAAGAGACATATAGGGCGATAACAAATAGGTTTTATAGGAAGTCCGTACGGGAATCTACTCGGCGCTACGTGGCGGCCTGCCACATAAGCGCGTGTAATAAACCGTTAAATAATAAAATCGATGTTCACCGTCAGTTTCGGTGTTTAGACGCGAAACTAAAAGTCCGGGAAATTGGGCATTAACCGTGAGTTCTGATAGTAAGCCGTGGGTTCCGGCAAAATCGGACATGAACACGGATGCCGATAAATCGAAAAGACGTGCGTTTGCTGTCGGGGACCAGGTTTTCGTGAAAGTACACCCTCTCACCAACGCCGATCAGGTTTTCACGCGAGCTTCGTCGCGAAGTGGTCGGGTCCCATCGCACATCAGGAAAAACTGGGGAAAATGGTTTTCTGGACGGATCAGAACCCACCGCGCAAAGTGCACGTCTCCACTTTAAAACCCTCTCATACGAACTGATATTCGTCCCGCAGTCGGCCAAGTCGTGCGAAAAATAAAAAAAAAAACTGTAGTGGTATCACAGTTGGTTTTTGCAATATTTTTCTTTCTTGTGTTAGATAATAAATTGTCGTTATTCCATAGATGTCATACGAAGGGAATGCACCCGCGGAGCTCCGGGACAACCGTTGGCGTCCGAGTTGGAACCACCTGAATTTGAGCTTGGAGGACATGGTGCGGCAGACCACCGCCCAACTCCACCTCCTACGACGAACACAGGACACGCTGATCAGGCTGGGGGCGGTGTTTCCGTCGGACACCACGCCGCAGGGATTGTCGGTGCACCAAATCGGTGACGTAGACACGGCGGTACTGCAAGCCTACCCCTGTTTGTGGGCCGCGTACGAAAGGGGATGGCACGATCACGTGCGGGCAGCTCCGGACCATCCACCGGTACCGACGGACCGCCAGCCCGTATCGGGACCAGTCCGTCACGCACAGTGGACGGTCCGGAGTGCTACAACGCAAGAATGTCCAGCACACCAAGTGCAACCGGCTTCCGGGAGGCCGGCCCAGCAACGACAGTGGAAACCAACGGCCATAGTACAACCACGCCAGCAGCAGTCGACTCCGCAGCCGCCTTCCCACCGACCACAGACACAGCCTCAGACTTTTCAGCCGCGTCCACAACAACGGGTCCGGCCGCCGACCGCTGGCATCACCGGACCCGACATCCGGTTCCCGCGTCCACGACCATCGGCTCTGCAACAGCGGGTCCGGCCGCCGACCGCTGCCATCACCGGACCCGGCATCCGGTT